CCGTCTGTCCCTCTGTCTTTCTCTGTTTGTCTGTCTCTGCTGCCATTCTTCTGTTGCCTCCCTTTTTCTATCACAGTGCCCCCTCTCATTGCGCTTGAAGAGTGACAGCCTGTGTTTTTCAGCCGATGTTTGAACACCGGGCGATCAATGCCGGACAAAGGGAGTGAGTGGGGGTGAAGGGGTGGGGACGGGCAACACAATTGGTTATTGACAGAGAATTTAAAGTCTGAAAGACTGGAGGCGACAGCTTAGTAAGAGGAGAGCACAGGGATGTGAGGAGGGAGAAAAGAGGAAGGGCGGAGAGGAGTGGGAGAGCGGCTCCACGATGATTGTGGTTCAGCGTCATGGTTCAGCGTCACTCCAAGATGTTTTACTGTTCATTATACATGACTGTGTGTGTTTACCTGCCCGAACACCCACTCAGACTGTTGTACATGGTTAATTGAGTGGTTGAACGTGACTTTAAGTGTAAATGTGAACCTGTCAGCAGGTGGCGTACATATCAGCTCAAACACAATCAGAGTGTTGTTTCTGCTAGTTATGCAGCATTAATGTTAACAGGGATTTCTCATGTCTGTCAGTGTCAGTGTCGGTACAACAACTCACATACATTCAACTTGACAAACTAATAAATTAACATGATTATGTAGCACAAACACAATCATTGGGTCCAGATGCTCAGGTCCAGGGGTGTTCAAACTGATCTAAAGAGTTAGTGTGTGTGTGTGTGGGGGGGGGGGGGGGGCAGATTTAATCATGTGAAAATACCAGCTGAGAACCAGCTGCTCATCTTGTGGTGCTAAGCTTTTCACAAAAATTAAATTGCATTTACTCACATTTTTTTTGGTCTTATTGCAGTGTAATTAAATCCCATTAACATTGTGTGGGACTGTGGTTTTTACTTAATGTTATCGAAGCGTTTCTTTTCTTATGTCACTCAGGTCAGATGACATGGGAGAAAGTTTTACAAAATTAAGAAAAATGTACATGCTAATAATGCTACAGTAAACTGCTGATCAATTTTTATATCAAATTTATTGCTGGGTGAGCGTTACTGCAGCTTCTGTTAAACCCAAAGTCTCTAAAGGTAATCTATCAAAAAATAATGAAGAGATTACAAAGTTACATTAACTTAAATATTGGAGAAGGCAAAATGAGGCAAAAAAGACTAAAATGTGTAGTGCAAAATAAAGCCTTTGGAATAAGCGTTAATAAAAGAAAAAAATGAATAAAGAAATATAGTTGTTACTTTTTGAATTAGTCTTATGTTTAAAATAAGGACATAATTAATGTTTGTCTGAAGTGTGAAGTTTTTCATATCTGCTTTTCTCAAGACTTGAGATCCATCTGAGCCATTGTATTAAAATCTTTAATTCGTTTTTAGTTCACTTTAATGCAATGTGCTACTAACTGTACTGTGTGCGTGCACATGTTTGTGTGATGATCTGATGACAAACAGTCATGACGAGGTGGAGAGACTGCAGGGTGCATCAGTGACAGGTCAGTGTGAGGTCACAGGCTGGTGAATAGATACAGCAGACGGTAGAAGAGGTGATATCATAAGAGCAAATGTGTGTTTGTAGAAGAGCCAGCAGAGAGAGTCTTCATTTTGGAGGAGTCGTGGTGCCATCCCTAAAAGTGAAGATAGTGCAGCCTTCAGAAACTACAATGGCCTCTGTGTAAATCCGTTCACAAGTTTCTCTCCCTCTTCTTTGATGCTCCCTATCCTCTTTTCTTTGCCCTAATGTCTCAGCCAGAATCTGTCACAGTAATAGGATAAGAATGGTGAAATGCTCATGTTCCTAAAAATATGCAAAGCTATCCTTCTAAGTAGTTTTCCTTGTTCTCTACTTGTGGCTGTAACTGATTTGCGAATTGAACGCTGCAAATTGGCCGGAATGTCATCTGAGGGGAGGCTGCTGCTGCCTCTACACTCACACATCCAAAAGTGAAGGACAGAAACTCAAAAAGAGCAGCCTTGTGGGACTTATGTGTAAGAGACACACAATTACCCATGAGCTCTTCTCATCTTTTTGAGCATGTCAAGAAAAGAGAGTGCAGGAGAAGAGAGGGCTCAGCATGGCCCATACCTTTACTACTGAGTGGAGCCAACCCTGTCAATCGGCTGCACTGCTCTCCTTAATGCATATTGAATTCAGATCATTTTCATAAGCAGAAGAAAGTTTTATTGGAAGGTCAGACCTATTAACAATTTATGAGAACCTGGATTTACCCGAAAGGGAAAGCCAGAAAGTGACGATAAGAGATTGATATTTAAGATGCTGCATAAAGGAAGAGGAAACATTTCACTTTTAGCCTTTGAAACATGAGTGTACTCTTGAATGTGTGTGCAGTGTTTGTGCGTTACGTTCTTAGCATCATGCTTCGTGGCGGTGGACGCTGCAGTCCTGCTGTCTGCTACAGGGCACATTCCACACTGGCTGTCTGGCTGAGGTACACCAGAATACCATCAACTTGATGGACACTCCTGAGTTATGGTTAAACTTGCATCATGGTCTTAACAGACAGGTGTAAGTCATAGTTGAAGTTTGTTGTCTATTGACATTAACAACTGCTGGAGGAAAGGTATGAGAATCAGTATAGAGAGGACTGTACTGTACCTGCAGTGTCCGAGGATATGTACTTGTCTCTCTTTTTAGTGGGTAAAAAAGTCAGAGGACTGTCCAGAGTGGACTGTGATTTATTTATAAAATTGTTTCGCCAATATTCGCTTGATTTCCATTCCCGAATCCCTGTGTGTCACATAGCTCAAAGTTAAATTGACCAATGAAAATGTGCTCTCAAATATCTGAAAATCAAAATACATATGAATGTTGCAGGCTTTTATAATGTTTCTGTGGATAATCGTGAACATCAAATATTTACTTATTAGTCAAAAGATGGGAGAGACAGCAACAATGAACAGCTAACAGGAAGTCAAAAGATAAGTGCTGGTCCTCAACATTTTTAAAACACTTCAGTGTGTCCTGAAGCTGTCACTGCTGCCACATAAATCTGTTCATTTCCCTGAAAACTACAGTCACCAATAACATGGCAGCCCTAATATACTGCCTGGGATCTGTCCGTCATTATCAGAATAACACGTCCGAGTGAAGAGGTCAGGAATATTGTGTCCTTCCTGTCAGGAGAAGCTAGGGGCAACATAGCCAAGAGGGATGTGTCACATCGTAAATGTCAGGGGATAAATGTGCGATCAACAGGACCTGTTCACAGAAGGTCAGCAGTTCCCTGTCCAGCTGAGAGACGCAGACTCATCCGTGGAGACTGCAGTGAGAGGCTTGCACTGACCAGATTAGTGGCAGCACAAGGAGGTGGAAATGTCACAGTGTCCCTGCTTTAATTTAGGGAAAACTCACAGCAGCTTAAATGTCTGCTGGAAAAACATAAACACAGCTGCTTTAATGTGCCATTGTTTAAAGTGACCCAGAACTTCTGATGAAAACTTGGTTGGTCATGTTGGTTTTCAAATGCAGTAGGTGTCTTTTTATTGGTTATTGGGTTAGATATTATCTGCAGTTTTAGCTCTTCGTTATTTGCTTACTTTAGTCCGTAAAGGTTTGTCAATTAAGTTAGTTTAGCTATTGTTGTCCAACATTTGACTACTAGTGGTTGTTAGGTTATGTAATCTGTTACCCATTTTTAGACAATTGTTAGCTATTTCTTGGTAGCCTTAAACAAAATTTTACCGCACTGGCTAACATGTAGCACAGTTTTAGTAACTTTGAGTCTGTTGAAAATAAGTTAGCTAAACTTTAACCTTTATTTAAAAAGGTTTACTTTTCCTATATTTTGCAAAGTATAAGGTGTTGTTTTTAATATAATAGCACTATCCCTTGGCTAGTTTGATCTGTTTTAGTGTGTTTTTAATACCATGTCTTAAATAGATTAATAATACTTTTCAACCTTAATTGTTTTTTAAATTTTGCAGTTATCAACTTTTCTTCCATTTTGGCATATTTTGTCACAGCTTTCAGAATTTCTGAGGTTACTTTTAAATTTGTAAAAAAAAATCCCTTCAGATCCCTTCATAACTAATTACTAATTAAACAATGGCATTTGTTTAATTTGTTTGCTCTGTATGAAGTGTATGTATGTTGTTTACCACTTAATTCCAGCCTTTAGTTTTATAAGAGGAGCATTTGAGCCCCAGGGAATTTTGCATAATAAATCTTTTCTTGGAATCTTTTCTTGGTAAAATGAATGTCGTTAACACATCTGCACAGTGCAACATGAATGACACGAACACATTAGCTCGCGGCAGCGTTCTTGTTTATATCTTATTAATTGCCATGAGGTAAGTCTGTCGTTTGTATATTTCTTTTTTTTCCATTAGGAAGGTCAGAGTGCAGGATCAACCACAGAGCAGGAAACCAACTGTGAACGGAAACTGACTCCGTTGCTTAATGTTCCTTACAGTTAGCCCTTTCCCTTGAAGGACAACCATCCTCATCATCCTAATGTTTTGTTTTCAGAGAGCACTGACTACAGCGATGCCGAGGTTCTACCTGACTCCCTCCCGTCGGCACCAGCAGAACCTCTCCCAGAGTTCCTGCTAGAACCAGAGGACGCTTTCATTGTGAAGAACAGGCCGGTGCAGCTACGGTGCCGAGCATCGCCGGCCACGCAGATCTACTTCAAATGCAACGGAGAGTGGGTGAATCAGAACGATCACGTCACCAGAGAAAGTCTGGACCAGGGCACAGGTGATGACACACACACACACACTTGTACTGTAAACACAACTACACACACTGTAATGTCACCTTGTATTTCACAGACATAAACATCACACTCAATTACAAACATAATTTCCAACTACATAATCCATTAGCTCCTGTAGCATTTTATGTGCACTTTTACTGCTTTTGGCCTGAAGCCAATGCATTATTTATATGCACTGTGAAAAATATGGCTCACTGGCTTTCTCTTCCCCTCTCTCTCTCGCTTTCCTTCTCTCTCACCCTCTCTCGCTCTGGTCAAAGGTCTGGTTGTGAGGGAAGTGGACATCTCAGTGTCGAGGACACAGGTGGAGGAGCTGTTTGGGTTGGAGGACTACTGGTGCCAGTGTGTCGCCTGGAGCTCTGCTGGCACCACGAAGAGCAACCGCGCCTATGTTCGCATCGCCTGTCAGTACTGAGTGTGTGTGTGTGTGTGTGTGTGTGTGCTCATTTAGGACCAATTCTGGCTTTGGATTTATTTCCTAGGAACAGTCGTCCTAAACGAAGCCAAAACCAGGTTGTAACAAGACAGAACCCTATTTAACCAATGTCCAGTTGAAGGACGAATCACAGGAGCTAAAGAGTTCCCAGCTTTGCTGTGTGTGTGTGTGTGTGTGTGTGTTTATGGCTATTAGCATGTTTGCGTGTGTGTGTGTGCTGCCACTATTTGCTGATTGCGTTTCTCTCGCCCATTGTAGACCTGAGGAAAAACTTTGAGCAGGAGCCACTGGGGAGGGAGGTGCAGCTGGAACAGGAGGTGCTACTGCAGTGTCGCCCCCCAGAGGGCATGCCTGCTGCTGAGGTACATATGTCACTTCTTCAAAATCACTCCTATCACATGGCTCTTTCTGTGTTTCATTTTTTATCATTATATAACTATTGTCAATGAGAGGTTTTCAGTGACTATTAGATTCACATTTATGTTTTTTGCTGTGTTCTAATAGAAAACAATATAAAAGAAAAGCAAAAACAGCAGCTAATAAATAATTCATTTTAATTGTTTTTTTCTTTTTTATTAAAAAATAGGAGATAAAAATTAAAAAAGATAGATTTATAGTTTTACAGCATCTCAACGATCAGACTTGATAATCTAATAATAAAATATGTGGTAACCAATTTAGGGACACTGATCTGCATCTGGACTTAGTGAGTCATGAACATTACTGGTCAAAAAAGATTGTGTTTGTGATGCGTCCAAACCCAAGGCACAATAATAACAATGGGTTTCTAGTATTTAAGTTTTGCTCTGCGGAGAATAAGCAAACACACAGTTTCATCCTTCTCTTTCTTTCTGCACCTGTGCTCCAGAACAGGGCAAATAAAGGAGACACAGACAGACACTAAGTGCTTGCAGAGTCATTTGACATCTGCAGAACGATAGCTGCAGACCTGAGCCAAAAACATTAGATTAAAAGGTTTTAAAAACGTAATATACGAGTAAAAACAACACCACAACAACTCAGTCGTTTGTGCAAATTACAAAAACAAAAAACAATGTGCAGTGAAGGGTGTAAGCACTTATAATATGAGATAATAACATCCACACACACATTCTTACCCTCAGAAAAAGACAACTCCGTAAGCCAAAAAGGCCAAGAAGAAGAAGAAGAAGAGAAGGAAAACAAATATCAGCTTATACAATAGGAATCAATTCAAACACGCTTATCTTTTCTAAAGTTTACAATGCTGGTTTGGAGAGCTGAGAGACGGAGAGATGGAGAAGGAAGGATGAAACGCTAAAAAGTTTTCAAACTAAAAGACTGAAGGGACTTGATTTTGTTACTCCTCCAGAGAGGCAGATCAAACCCAGCATGTTTTTTAATGTTCACACATAATGATGACTAATAAAAGTGAAGCACTGTTTCGAGGCAACTAACAAAACTTTGTGGAAAATTCCTCACTCAAATATGAAGTGATAGCAGGGGAAATAAATGAACTCAGAATTAGATTATGTTCATTCACTGTCCACGCTTTTCTTCCTTATAATTAAAGTATGACACGTCTTTAGCCGTGGTTGCTGTGAAATTGAGAGAGTTTTTCTTATTTGATAGAGATTTCCTTGTAAAATACTTACGGCATCTTTGACTAATTTGAAACCATATAAAAACCCACCTGCCTATTCAGAGTCAGTTAGTCAAAACCTCTGGCTTCTGAGGGATTGTTTTAGCTTCTAGGTGCTCGAACCAACATTCTTTTCACCACTGCTTCTTCACAGGTGGACTGGCTAAAAAATGAGGACGTCATCGACCCCTCGCAGGACCCCAACTTCCTCATCACCATCGATAATGACCTGATCATAAAGCAGGCCAGGCTCTCGGACACGGCCAACTACACCTGTGTGGCTCGTAACGTGGTGGCTAAGAGACGTAGCAGCACGGCTACGCTCATTGTTTATGGTAGCACATGTGGTTGTTGCTTTAATTCTCCTCTTACACTGAGTCTAAGGAAATTACTGACAGTGTTGTCCAATATCCATTTGTCTCTCTGTCAGTGAGTGGAGGCTGGTCTTCGTGGACAGAATGGTCAGAGTGTAACGCTCAGTGTGGGCGTGGCTGGCAGAGGCGAACGCGCAGCTGTACCAATCCCACTCCTCTGAATGGAGGTGCCTTTTGTGAGGGTCCACCCTTTCAGAGAGTGACCTGCACCACACTCTGTCCAGGTAACTGACATATGTGACATCACACTGCACAGCGAGGAACCACAAAAATGGCACCGGGAATGATGTGAAACTACTTGATCAGTTACCTAATGTTAAAATTGTCAAAAATAATTGTAAGATTCATATATATATATTTACCTTGATTTTAAAAATGAAAAATGATTATGTAAATTTTTTTTTCCAATAATTCAATAATACACGTCTTTTTGGCCCAGGTTATCTTTTCATCTGCCCAGAGTTGAGTTGCAACCTTTTTATTAGTTCAGGAATGTACACATTTTCCCTATAGGTCATATTCCACAAATATGGAGTAATGTCAGACTTGGTACAGCTTTTAAGAATGAAATTATTACAATAGACAGAAATGTAATATAAATAATATTTTTGACCCTGCTGTGGCTGTAAAGTATATTTGTGTTTGAATTAGCCCAGAATTTCTTGTTTATATCAAATTGTCACATTAAATCACCAAAGAACAGAGAACCTTTTGCGTCCTAAATATAACTGAAGACTGGCATTTGTCCAGTTAATGTATGCACTCCAGTTCTACTCTCTTTTTTTCATAGTACTGCATTCAAAGGTCATGCCCTGTTCCCTTACAATGGAAGCTGTTTAGCTGATTATTAGCTGTGAAATGACTGTCTTCTCCACTGTATCTTTCCAGTAGATGGAGGCTGGACAGAGTGGGCAAAGTGGTCGGCCTGTGGGACGGAATGCACCCACTGGCGCAGTCGTGAGTGCCAAGCTCCCCCTCCCAGGAATGGAGGAAAGCATTGCAGTGGCAACATGATGGAGAGCAAAAACTGCACCGAGGGGCTGTGCACTCGCTGTAAGTCGCAAATCATTTATTTTGAATGGGTTTGGATGGTAAATGTCAAAATGTGTGTGTGTAATTAATCACAGGGTAGCTCTTAATTAATTAATCATGATTGATCTAGATAAGTCACCATTGCTATATCTGATGAAAAGAAAAACAACATTTTTGTAAATAGCTTGAACAGAAAGATAAATAACAGCAGAATGAGTTTCACACCTGGTTCATTTGTGACTAATCCAAATCCAGTCTTTAACACAGAAAAATATGTAAAACTATATCAATGTGGCCAAATGGAGTTGGTGGAATTTAGTCACTGTGCAGTGCATCCGGCCTCGCTGAGAGAGTTGTTTTCAAAAATCCAGCGAAGTTGGTCTCCTCAACCATATTAATCAGTCTACAGTCCCTCGCAATCCATTTGTCAATAGTGTCAGTCAGCTTGTCAGCTGTAGACTGCCCTGCGTTCAGTGAGGCTGGTCTGACACAAGCTGAACAACTGAGCCAAAGTTGAAGTATTTTAGATGGAATTTTGAGCTTGACTTGCTTTAGTGTGTGCAAATAACAAAATATGTTTTGATTTTGTATTAGAATTAGCATTTTATATATATATGTATATGTATATATCTCTCTCTATATATACATATATAGATATATATAATGCTGAATATTATACTGCAATCTAGCTCTGTAGCATTGCATTTTAATACTGCTTTGGCAGAGCAGTGTGATCGGCGTGTTTAGTAATTGCAACACAGTGAAAGTGTAAATGTTGCACAGTGGGATAAAAACGCATCACAGACAGATGTCGAAGTGAGAATTTAGCTTCTTAAGTAGACAAATCTGGCGATCCACATCTTAAAAGCACAGATGGGGATACAGAAAAAGTGAACGAGTGAAGACACTTGCTGAGGAAGCTTGTGGAGAGGGAAGCGAGCATGACAAGGCCGAGTCGAAATTAGCACAGAGAAAGGCATATGAGAGTGAGTCAGACTCTCACTGACACCCAGGGTGCAGCCCGTGATGAGCTCGGAGGAATCCAGCTGACAGCGCATTAGAGCCTTTAGAGACGCACGTCCATTGAGACATGAGACATTTGTCTACTCTCTTAAAACACACACACACACACACACACACAGGACTCAAACCAACATGCCCATGCACACAGGGAAACCTTGTAAGTACTTTTGCACGGGGAGGGAATCATACCCACACATTAAGTGCAGCACTGTAACTTCAACACTCCGGTGATAGTTCGACATAAATAGGTTTTTCCTGAGCAGACAGATTGAACAAATACACTTTGGGCATGAGACTCGAGCGATGAGTGTTGTCTGGATTCCAGAAAATTATGTTGATTAAATCTGAAGTACAGCACAGGTTGTACAGTTCACTCTGCAACTTAAGGATTCCTGCTTTCCTTAAGGATTGTTTCACTGGCAATATTAAAGTCATTATTAAGGAGTCACATGTGTGTGCAGAAGCCATAATGACTACATGCATTCCTAACATGCTTTAGATAATTAAATCCCTCTCATGTTTTGCTTGTTGTTAATTCCTCTGGGAATCAACCAAATACCCCAGGACACGCCCCAGTAGTTTGTGAAAGCCACTGTATAGAAGTGAGAGGAGTTCAGTTCTCAGGGGATAAAGGTTATTTGGGGTTTGATATTAGAAGATGTAACCTGACATTATATTATAAATCCACCTGGTGACTCACACATATTGATACTGATATTCTGAACGTGTTCTCACGAGAAAAGAATATACAGATTTTTACTTTATTACCAGCTTCAGAGTTGCTGATCACATGCTTTTGACATTGATTGAATATGAACATCTCAGAGAAAGAAACACAGGAGGCAGAGCTGCTTAAAACAACGGGTGGATGAAAGGGAAGCGAGGGATTATTCATCTGCAGACAAGAAAGTCTGTGATTATGTGAAAACACAACAAAGCTGCCTGTTGTTCATGATATGGTTGCTGTAAATTCTGTGTAAGCTGTATGTTTGTTTGTCTTTAAAAAGCATTCCATTTTTAATGACTCCCTTGTTATCGACTTATCACATTATTAATAAATCCACTCCCTTGTTATCGACTTATCACATTAGTTTCGACTTGAAAAAAATCATGTTATGCACAATTTGAACAAATGTTACATGAAAGACATTTGGAGACTTGACATCTGAAAAAAGTTTTTTTCTGCAGTGAATGACATTTTCATTTTTGACCAACAAAACTAGGGTGAAACATATCAAAGTTTTTTATGCGATGTCATTACTTTCCTCCACACAGGAATGGGCTGACTGCTGAGATAATATAACCTAACAGCCCCTTTGGTGTGTGCAGGCACAGAGGCATTAAAAGTTGATGTAGACCATTGAATTCCCATGGTGCTATCATATGCTACTACTGATGCTGCTCAGTTTTCTTGTTAGCATTAAAAAAAAGATCAGTGTCTGTGACTGTGATTAATAATGGGCAAATAAAAAATGAATTTCAGGTTAAGCTGTGCAGAGAGTTCCATCTGCTGGATCGTGTTGTTGGCTGCACAAACAGTCTTGACCTTTTAATTTGCATTTTTCACTCTCAGTATCAAATTAAAGGCTTCATTTCCGGTTATTGGATTGAAGA